TGTAAAATTAAAAATAATTATTACTATAATTTTAAAATTTAATTTGATAATTAATCTACAACAAAATTCAAATCACTTATTAAAGCTTGCGCCCCGTGTTGGTAGAGATAACCGCGCTATATATTTGTTTTCCTAAATGTAAAGTATATGCTATTAGATTTTTAGCATTATATTAAAAAAAACAAAAACTAGTTCTAATATTTATATAATAAGTTTTAAAATAAATTAATAACCAATAAAAATAAAAATAAAATGGTAGAAATTTAGCCCAGATCGAAGACCCCCCCTCCTGTTCCCATGCACGCGTGGCAAAACCCATGCTGTCTAGAATTTATCTGTTTTGGCCCCTCCTGACATGCTATATATATAAAAAGAAACAGGTTTCCTAACTGTCCGGTGATTTACATTTCAAATTGCCTATTAATTGATTTGACTTCCTGGTTCGGTTGAAACAATCTGACCAAAAAAAAAAAAAACTATGCAGAAAAACAGGTTTACCTACGTGGATTTAACATTCAAATTGACTGTTAATTGATTCGACTTCTTGTTTTCTTTGAAAAAAATATTGCAAAAAAATAAATTATACCAAATCAATTAAAAATTTAATTTTAATAGTTTTAAATCAAGTTATGATTTCAGGTAAATTCACTATTTCATTTAATATCTATGCTTTTATATTCTCATTGTTGTTGGAGCAAAGTCTATCATGATGTTTGATGGCCAGCACACCCATTAGAGAGGACTGGAGTTATTTTCAAATTATTTGTCGCAGTTGGTGAGATAGTTTTCTGGAAAAGTATAGAACAAGAATGATGCAAAGTATATGGCTATGAGAGGTTGACAAAAAAATGTGGTGCAGATCAGCTCTCTGGGAACAACATGAGTTAATAGAATTCAATACCAAATGGGACTTTATTGTTAGTAGAAGTTAGATTTCAAGAGTTTTAATATTATTAGAACTTGCAATATTAGAATTAATATTTATCAGAGAGTTTTACTATATTTAGGGGATATTTAGATTATTAATTCTTTTTTTTAGTTAGATAAAGATAAAAGTCCTATATAAAAATAATAAAACCACCTTAACCCTTTGAAAGTATATAGAAAAATAATAATGAGAAAAATAAGAAGAGAAAAACATTTAAATGAGATATCATTTAACATTAAATATCTATTTGTTTTTAAGTTTTAAAAACATTTTAAAAAATAATAAATTTTATTTTAATTTTTTTTGGTGTTTTTATGTTGTTTTTAAAAAAATTCAATACATTTAAAAATAAAAAGTAACTTAAAAGGCAACCATTAATACATTTTTAAATAAAAAAATAACTAGCTTAATTTGATCTCAAATCCAATGATTTTAATTAAATTCAACATAATAATAGTTCTAATACACTTCTTCAAATAAAAAATTTTTGAGTTTGAAATTTATATAGATTTATATTACTTTATATTTAATTTTTATCAAATAAATAAGGATTATAAGATTCAAACTCGTGACTGCTTGGTCATAAAGATTCTGATACGATATTAAAGAATCATCTCACTTTAAAATTTAAATTTTAAATAAAATCTTAAAATATATTTTATATTATTTTCTCAAATATTTTAAATTATCTTAATATCCATTAAGCAGTGCCAAGCAGTCAAAGAGCTAACCCAGACCCTCTCTTGAAAGCTAAGTATAATTTTTTTTTTTTTGTGTGTTAATGCTAATTATATGCAGACTTCAAGTTATTATCAGGTGGGAAATCCTAAATTAAGTAATTTTGAAACTTAAAAGATTCCAGCTGGAGATCCATTGAAGACAATAAGATTCCAGCTGGAGATCCATTGAAGACTTTTATGTACGGTGTCCATTAAAAACGTAGGAACGTGTCATTCTCCCTCATCGTTGCCATCATTAAAGAAGACACGCACCCCCCCCCGGCCCCCCATAGCAGGATTCATGACACTTCTTCAATCACTTACACGAGTCACTAAATTGTTATTTTAAATTAAAATCTATTTAAGTAGTTTGTTCTGGGATTTTTTTAAAAGAATTTTTTTATTATGTTTTTTCATGTTTTTATATTATTTTCTTTTAATGGGATGATGTTAAAAATAAATTAAAAGAATATATATTTTAAAAATTAATTGCTGCGGAAATAACAACTGATGGATCCAACTGGTGCTTATATATACTTCTATCATATATTTTTTTTAATATTTATCATAAATCTTTTTATTCATATCATGTAATGTCTGCACCCAGGTGATGGTTAATAATTGCTATAGTACCCTAGGGTAACATAAAACCATATAGTACATGGTACAATAATAAAAAATTAAAAATACAGGGTTTGGTTTTCTTGTGATATGAACTTGAGCTTGCTAATATGATGGTAATTAAAAGTTATATAAATATTAATTTTAAAACTCATAAAATTAATTAAAATATATATAAATAAAATTTATAAAATTAATTAAAATACATATAATAACCATATTAATAATAAAAAAGAAATTTTTAGAGTACCCTACGTGGGCTATATATTTTATCAGCCCTATCTACATGGTGGAGCCACCCAAAAGCGTCGGTCTGCTTGCCAGGCTGCCACTGTACCGCAATGAAATTGTGGCCACAGCTGAAGATAATCTCTTGCTGTCGCCGGATCGATGATGCAAACAAGACAATTGAAAAATGTGAAGAACTGCGATTTCGAAGCAAAAAAAAAAGAGTGTAAAAACTTGTTTAATCTGGTTGATCTTTTCTTTTCAACCATGTATAACTAATAACAACTTTTTTTATAAAAAAAAATATCGCATTAATTAATGTGAGAAATATAAGTATATCGTCAAATCAAATAAGCAAAAAATAAAAGTACAGAAGAAAGTGAACAAAAGATGTAGGTCCTGTCCAGACGACGACAATCCACACAAAGATGGTGAAAGAGACGTCTTGCCGGAGCCCAAAGAACAAGCTTTATCTGCTTCACCTCTCTCTGATTTTCCCCTCATAGAAATGGCTTTACCTCTGTCGTTTTTGCACGAGGTAGGCCTAACCTCCCACCCAAGCAGTAGAGCCTGACAATATCTCGCTATTCTTGGATAATTTGGATGTACGAAAACTGTACATTATAAGTTTTGAATTCACAATTCCAAAATATTTGGTAAATGTTCCAACCGCGCAGATTATTTTTTTCAATCCCCATCTCTAAAAAAAAATAATAGTGAAGAAGCTAAAACCATGGACAAATTAAGTTACATGAAATTAATACATGATTTTTTGCATTACTTTCATGCAATCTAAGTTGATGTCTCTTTATTTAGTGTAATATGATAATATTAGATAATATCTTATTTTGATCTCAAAATAAAAGAGATGAAAACATTGGAGAAGGAAATGATAATTTTAAAAATAATTAAATTCAATTTAAAATTATCATAAAAATAAATTTATTTAATGTTATTTTTTCTATTATTCTAATAATTTTTTTTGTCTCTTTGTTATCTATTTTTTTTTATAAACATTTACAAAAACATAACTTAAGTATTTTTGCACTTACCTTCCTATGAATATTATCAAAAATACTTTTTTAACATGATATGAAAAATATAATGTTGGATTGTAAAATTATAAAATTAAAAATAATTTTTTTTAACTAATTATATAATATTAATTTCATCAAAGAAATTAAATTACATTCAAATATAATAAAGAGACCCAAAAACATCATAATTAATTAGTGATATAAATAAAATAAAATAGATAGATAGTATGAATTAAAAAATTAATAACGTGAATAAATAAAATATTTCATAAAAAACTTTCCAATATAAGGAAGTTATTGAATGGTAGGAAGTATATAAGAATCTTGTGAGAACTTAGTTATTCCCATCACAAAATGTTCTAATTGATATCTTTTAGATTGCAAGTTAATGAGGTTGAACTAGTAATTATCTAATGTCTAATAATGAAATAAGCTTTTAAACATTGTCTAATATGCTAGAACAAACTCAAATTAAAAATAATTATTCATCATTAAATAAATAAATAAAATATGATAGTAAAAATAAAGTTTTTATGTTAAAATTCCTCTATGTATTTCGAATATCTAATTTTTGTATATTCTTGACAGATTTCAGTTCTGATTTTAAATACATCATTCTCTCTTGTTTGGATGAGTTACTAGGCCTACCATATATGGTTGGAAAATTTAAAATATCTAGTTTCCATCCCAATGAATTACTAGGCCTACCATATATGGTTAGAAAATTTAAGATATCTAGTTTCCATCCTAATTTAAATAGCAGCCAAATTCCTCTTATAACTTCAAATATGTTTCAAATAGTATATAAAAATTTAGTTTGACGGATTTAACAAGATTTATTTAGTAATTTTATCCATTTAAAATAATATGTTCTTAAACTTCATTTAACCTGAAAACTTACCACAATATAATTTCACGTGTCTAGTATTTTCCTGTAAACTTTCAGCTCGATTCAATGTACAGTTTGAGATATATGTCTAATCTTGTAAAAATAATTATTAGATATTTTAAGGTCAAATTCAAACCTTACTTTGTTCATATTATGAATTTAATAAACTTGTAAAATCAGATCAAATCTATTAATTTTATCTATTTTACACAAGTCAAGTATGATTTTATTGATTTTTGAGTTTTTAGTTTAATTTTGCACATTAGATACATCTTAACTTATAATATCACATAAATTTACGAGTTTTAATAATATTAATGCTTCTTATATGTAGTGATTTTATTGATTTTTAAGTTTTTAGTTTGATTTTGCACATTAGATATATCTTAACTTATAATATCACATAACTTTACGAGTCAACTCATGATTTTAATAATATTAATACTTCTTATATGTAATTTCAGTATTATTGCTTATTACATAGAGTTAAGAATATAATAATAAAGATAAATAAAAATAATATAATAATAGAAATATGTAACTACAATAATATCAATATTATTAATAACACAGAGAAAGAGTTCATAAAACAACAATAATTAACAAGGGAGATGGGAGAAAATCTCTAGAACTGATCCAACGATCTGCCTTGCCTATAATCACTAATTGGTTAATTAAACATAATTATTATAAGCTAAACGTACTGGGAAATATTAATTTTAGTGCCTCTTGATGAACTCTATGATCCCTTCCAAGAGACCGGTAGTTTGTGCAGCGGTATGTGGGTCCATATCAACAGCAATCTTGTTAAGATAAAAACTGTGACCCACTCCAGGATTAATTAGCAACTCCACATCCTTCTCAGCCTTTCTCATGGCCTCATAATACTCCATCTCGGTGTCCCTTATCAGGTCAGTCTCCGCCACACAAAGTAAGAATGGTGGAAGATTAAGGCTGTCCAGCGGTGGTGCTGCATGCCCCACTGGACACGTAAAAGGGTGGTCCTTGGTGCACCCTTTTGGCAATGCCAAGTTCAAGACCCTGTCCACCATGTCTAGGGTTAAGAAAGGCGACTGTGGTTGCTCCATCTCTGATTTGCTCCTCACTGACCGGACAAATCCAGGATGGACTGGAATGCCTCCAGCAAGTCTTACCGGACTCAAATCCACATGATCAGCACGTGCAGCCACATGGTGCACCAAGTTCCCCCCTGAACTATCTCCAATAAGAAAAACCCTGTTGAAATCTCCATAATTATTAAGCCATGGTTCATAAGAGTCATGTCCTTGTCCTAATGAACGTAACCACATGAGGGCAGAGAAGCCATCATCAATTGCAGCTGGGAGGCGATGCTCTGGGGCTAGCCTTAAGTAGACCGAGACAACAATTGCTGAAGCTGACCTAGCAAGCCTAGAGTACATGTAATAATACATATACCAATCAGCTTGGCTAATGCAAAAACCACCCCCGTGAAAATGGACAACTATAGGAAGCTTATTATGATTATCTGTGTAGTGAGGCTCATGTTGAGGTAGATAAATTCTAACTCTAAGGCCAGACTTTTCATCAATGGTGACATCACGTACAGCAACACCGTCTTTGAATTCCTCATGTGGAGGCACTGGCTCTGCCATGAACATGACCTCAGGCGGTCCGGTCCATGTCCGGTCCACCGAGCCATCATCAAAGATTCTTAGCCAGCCAGATACCTCCTCCACAAGTTTCTTCTGTTGGACCATGGTTACAAGCTATATAAGTACTTTTCTCGAGTGTGTATGAGCATTTTGGATGGTCTAGGCTATCCTTTATTTATAGTGGTTTGTGTGGTGTGGGAAATGAGAAAGTTATAGGCCGTCTTGGAAACAACTTTCCTGCAAACAAACGGGGTATATAAAAGATTTGCTTTTGAGGGAATAGTAAATAAGAAAGAAATTGTGCCATCTGGAAAAACGAATCAACTCGGTGATTAGTTAATTTAAACCGAGTAAATGAAAAAACCCGATTCTAGAAATGAATTTATATTTAGTTTGTAATCACTCATAAAAGAAACTTATATAAAATTCAACTGTCCAGAATTTACTTTTAGAAGTGGGCCAAGTACATTTATGATGAATAAAAATATAAAAATTATGTTATATATAAAGAATAAAAAAGTTTATTTCTTTTATCTATATAAAAATTAACTTTAAAATTTTAACATAGATTAAAAAATTCTTTATTAATAGCATAATTTTTTTAAATAATTACTTTAACACTTAATCAATTATCAAACGATCGAGTATACATTCTATTAATTTTCTTCCATTTACATGATCGTAAATAATTAGGCATCTTTTTTCGTCACAATTTCTATCGCTTTTTCATCAACTTTCCAAATGCTTGTTTCCTGCCTTGCGCTAGAACCGGAGTAGTTTCTCGGAAATTGCAGCGTAAGTTCATACATTTTAGTGACGCATTATTAGTTTGAGGGATGTTTTAGAGATGGTTCTCTGATGAAACGAAGGAAAAGAGTCAAAAGTCAAGCATTCGGCCGTGGGAGCCACCACCCACTTCTACACCGAGCAGTGTGGAAAACTTGGCCGAATTAATTTGTTAACAATGTGAACGCCATTAATGAAGGCGATATGAGTCCTTACCAAACATGCAGAAGATGAAAGCAATGGCTTTTACGCAAGGAATTCAAACTTCTAAAAGGCGTTCAAGTCAAAAAAATATAATTCAATCTGGAAGCAAGAAAATAAATAGACATCTAGTTATCTCGAACGGGGGTGATGGATGCTTAGACTTCTAACTAGAGACCTTAAGATGGGTCCAGGGCTCTCTAGAAAGTGAGAAAGGAATAATGGTGCACTGAGGTCTTGGTGGGAGTAGCTTGTTTTTTTTTTTTTTTTTTTTTATGTTTGGTTTTTCAAGTGCATGTTTGTCACTGCATATTTTACATGTTCATTAAATTTATAAGGTGTTCAATAAATCATGAAATTAATTATACACAAACTAATCTGAATATTTATATAAATAAAAAAAATATTTTTTTTTTTTTTTTATGTTTGGTTTTTTAAGTGCATGTTTGTCACTCTGCATATTTTACATGTTCATTAAATTTACAAGGTGTCCAGTAAATCATGAAATTAATTATACTATTCGTAAGTTAGTCTGAATATTTATATAAATAAATAAAAAAATTTTAAAAAGAAAAATAAAATCATTATTTTTCGTAGAGCTTTTTTTATTATTTATTTTCTCCCTCTCTATTCTCTCCTATTTAAGTCATTCTACATAATGCAACAACACAAAATTTAATCAGGTTGAATAATGCAACAACACAAAATTTAATCAGGTTAAATTTGTTTTTATATTTTAAAACATAATTTGTTTTTATATTTTAAAAAATATTTTTTTTTGTTTTTTAAATTAATTTTTTTTATTTTTTAAATTGATATGCTAGCATCATTTTTTTGTTTTTTATTTTTTTTTTTTAAATTGATATACTAGCATTAAAAATAAATTTTAAAAACTTAAAAATATTTTAAAAAATAATTATTGTAATGATACCAAAGCGCTTAATCTTGCTAATTATTTCAATATCAACTTCATATTTTACGGTCCTCTCCAAGTAGTGCTTGATGTACTTTCTAAAAATTAGGGTAGATATCATTTTTTTGCTGAAAACATTATATAATTAGATCACCTAAATTACAATAAACCATCTTACCTAATTGCAGCAAAAGATAGCGTGGGTAAAAAATAGGTTTCTTTGAGCCATAAGGTTACAACTTGAAACAGATATAAAACTCTGATATTTTCTTCAAAATTTTTGTAATTCAATAAGAAAATAACATATATAGGGCTTAAAACCAACCTAATAAAAAAAAATCTAAATTCAAATAAAAAATAATTAAAATAGAAAAACCAACATCTTTTAGTTATAGTTTAAGTGTCTTCCAAACCTTAGCTAGTTATAATACACCGGCTTCCTATAGAATTGAGCTTATTAAAATTAGTTTATAAAATTTAAATATGATTTAAAATATCAAATTTAAAATTATTGTTGTTTTCTTTAAGGTTAGGTGTTCAAAGTATCTGAGTTTTCTTACGGGTTTAGTCATATTTATTTGGTCAACAAAGTTAATCACAATACATTTTGCGTCATCTTTTTATTATCAAATGGAGTGATTCTAAAATTAATTATTAATTACATTTTGGATATAAAAAAGTTTTTGTAATATTTTTATAGACATGAACAACGTGATTCTGGTTAAATCTTAAAATTCTTGAATCTTAATATCACATTTACTTCATTAGGTTACGTTAATTTATCCTAAAACTTTATATCTAAAGCTTCATAGCGTTGTGGATAATGGCTAAATCCAATCACGTACAGGGTAGATAAGGCTCAGCTACCAAGAAGTAATTCTTAACTCCAGCACAACTAATGTATACCCTTATTTAAAGATTTCCTTCTCCATTTTCAGGATAAATTTAAAAATCTCAAACTTTTTGGGCCAAAAATGAAGTGAGTTTAGCAAAGGAAATCATGCCGATTCCGAGCTGGTACAAAATGGGCTTTGCTCACAACTGGCTGGATCACTGGCTATCTTGTGGCTAAGGACTTCATAGGAAAGCCGAGAGGGAACGGGCCAACTTGCTTCTTATGGATCAACTCTTAGGCCTGGCTTGGCTTAGCGGCTTGAACAGAACCCCGCGCACAAAACAGCGGCCACTCACCTCAGTAATCTGACTTAGGTTAAACTTCAGTTTCATCCTCAGAACTAGATTTCCTTTCAGTCTTACCCTCTCTTTCACACTGCAAATTTCTTTTCGTTCTCGTCCTCATATCCAATTTGTTAAACCTCGCTTAGTCCAGCGGAATGACTTGGAGAAACTCAGACCAGACCTCATCAAAGCTAGGTTTTTTCTTTATTGAATCAGATAAGATATTTTTCCTTATAAATTCTAATTCATCAATTAGATTTTTAAAATGTAATTGACCTAATAAAATCCAGTTCAAACTCCATCGTGTGTGTGTGTATATATATATATATAAAGAGCTAAATGATTCTATTAAATAGCTGACCTTGTGACATGCCACCCCCCATAGTCTTTTCTCGGTTAATTCTTGAGTCAGTCTGAGGAGTATATTAACGCAAAAATTGGTGTATCTCCAATGCATATGACATTTTCTCACTCAAAGGGTAGCTGTTCAGTTTTTTCCCATTCAGAAAGGACTCCACTTAATTTCTTCACAAAGTTATAATCACTTTCAAAAGCTTTCAGCGTGTAATATGAGTTGGGGTAGAGATTAGATTCTATCTGATCTGTTTCATCTTTATGTTCTTAATTTTAGATGGCAACATTTTTCTCTGGATTGAACATATTCTGTCTATTAATCAAGAGGAGAAAAAGACTCAACCCTGTCTTTAGTTCTTCTCGTCGGCATTTTCATATTACATATTTGAGCATGTGACAGTCGGGAGTATCGGGCTGGAGTCTCTGTAATTTTAGGCCTTCCATGTCAACTTGGGTGGGAAATTTATTTTGAAGCTAGTCAAGATTTGTTCTCCTAATCTATGCATCAACAACCATTAGCCGCACTGTATTTTCACCTCCACAAATAGATGCAATATCACCTCAGTCTGTCACAGCAAATTCCCGTTGCTATATGACTAGGATTACAGCAATTGCCTGCCCCAGAAGTCAATTGTGTTCATCAATTAACCAACAAGCAATTTTAAAAGACGGAGAGATCGAAGATCTTGTCTCCATCCACGTTTTCTTCTCCTAAAGCTGGCGGTGTCACATTGCACCCAAGTTAAAGTCGGTTTCAATTATCTGATGGTGGAAGATGAACTGAATTAATCGACTTCCTCATAGTTTATAAAAAGAAGTTACCTTGTAATCTTGGAGACGAACGAATTGGATGCATTTTTATGTGACCTTCCTATTGGTGAAATGATTTGTTCATGTCTACTCTCATTCATGCATTGGTAAAAGACTTATCTGATTCTCCCTTAACAGAAGCCTTCTGTTAATGGTGGGGGTAATCATTCAAGGCACTGTGCAAAAGTTGATGAAGGAAATTATGTGCCTTCTTCTAGCATCATAGAATATATTACTCGAATAATTAAGTTTCTTCTCTGCCTTCTATTGGTTCGACTTGTGCAAGATAATGATGTTTCTAGAGGTCGATCAATCTTAAATTGTTACTTAAAGACGAATAATCACGCTGGTTAATTTGATAAATCATGCTCATAATTAAAGAGTGAGAGTGACATATTTCGCTAGTCATAAAAAAACTTTAGAGTCTGGATTATTGAGTGTGATTTTCACTCATGGATCAACCATATATCGAATTAGCCATTGGCTTGAGGGTTCTGTATGGAAGAAGGATTAAAATAGTGGGATATTATCCTTGATGGATAAGCAATTTTCATCAATAAGCTATGATTTGGAATAAGTTTTTTTTGGGTATACGGAGCCTGCATACTTTTCTCCAGTTGGGGACTAATCATCCTCCATCATCAATATAAAATAACTCCATTGCGGACTCCGTTTGCACCTGTTCTTTTGAATAAATTACATAAAAATTAATAATTTTTATTTGAGAACATGGCACAAACACCAATAGGTTACCGTGTATACTTGTAGTTTAAAATATTTTTTATTTAAAGATATTTAAAATAATATTTTTATTTTTAAAAATTATTTTTAATATCAGTATATCAAAATAATATTAAAAAAATATTTTAAAATATTGTTTTTTAAATTCTTAAAAAAACCCAGTTTTAATTGCATT